GTGGAGTTACTACTGAAAAACACTACTGATCTCCAAAGTCCAAAGTTTACAACAAATCGAGTTCATTAATCTTGTTTTCTGAAGGACTAGAACTAACAGTAAATTTCATCAATTAAATGTTTCCATTAATTGCTTTCAAGTCATGGAAGACCCATTCAGGAATTTCCTTGTTAAAGTCTGGTTGACACACCGGTTGTGGCTACTGACTGCCTGCATTTTTAACCAAGAATAACTTACATGTCATAAATAATGACAAGTGCACTTAATGTCAGATACTTATATACCAGTCCCTTTCAAGCAGTTATGAATGAACATTTGAAGGGTTAAAATGAAAAACTGCTAGGTAAATGCCTTTCCCAGAGCTTTACATTAAAAATGAATTTATTATTATTATTATTTCATAGAATAATAGAATATCCCAAGTTGGAAGGGACCAATAAGGTTATTATTATAATTATTTTTATGAAAAGGAAGAAGAAAGAAAGAGAAGGAGGAGAAGGAGAAGGAGAAGGAGAAGGAGAAGGAGAAGGAGAAGGAGAAGGAGAAGGAGAAGGAGAAGGAGAAGGAGAAGGAGAAGGAGAAGGAGAAGGAGAAGGAGAAGGAGAAGGAGAAGGAGAAGGAGAAAACTATCATGACTTCAAGATCACCACAGTCTCTATGAGTCAAACTTTATTATTTCTGTTTTGTTCGCCATCAGCAGTAATTGTTCTGTAATCTAAGCGTAGGTGGTAAAAAGGAACTTAGTCTGTTGTCTGTTGACAATAAAACCCACTTTCATCAGGAATATTATATATGTCTTGAAACTCCTATATAGATTTCTGCTCAAAAGTGGTGTTATTAGACATTTTTCTCACTATAATTATTGAAAATATATCTCTCAAAACTAGATGGGGACTTCTCATATATCTAAACAGAATATCCCCACACATAATAGTGGAGCAGAGAAACTGAGCAAAATAATGTTTTATGTATAGATTCTGTATATTTGAGGTAAAGACATACTTTATAACTTGATTTTTGAACGTTTGCATTTTAATATCATAGCTTTATTAATAATAATTTAGTAGTAGGTGTTATAAATCACTTACCTTAAACAATTTCTCACTACTGAACAAAACACAATTATGTCCCTGTGGTATAAAATAGCTGTTTTTGTTTGTTTATTTTTAGTTTTGTTTTTGTTTTCTTCAGCAGTGTTTAAAGTATTGACAGAACTGACAGATTGTTAAGTTACATCTGAAGGTTCACTGGCACCAAATTGTCTCCATGTGTTATAGCCTCAGTCTTGGCAAGGTTCAGATCTTCTTAAGGAGAACACGGTTGGAAGGCTGAGGCCATTCGTGAGTGCCTAATAACAAAGCAGTAATATTATCTTCACTGATCTCCATGCACCCCCCTACACATAGTTAAATACAATATTTAGCAAAATTTGCCAACCAATCAGTCCAGAATATTTGGAAGGAGTATGTTGCAATTGTTGGAACTTCTTTGCAAAAATTTCTGTCTTTATTTCCAGGACATCCCTGCTCTATGACTAAACAAACTACTTACTTCCACCCAAGAAATTCAAACATGCTTCATAAATATGGCACCATAAAAATCACCACGCTATTGGACATTGTAAGAATTAATATGACTTTTTATTCACTTTCCATATCTTACCTCATTTAGGTTGCCTGTTTCTTATAGTCTTTTGCATCTTATTTTAAATTTGCAGTGACCTAAATGAGGAATTTAATGTCTCATGAATGTCTCATGCTATTTATGCATTTGCCAATTCTAGCTTAACTTAACTTAACTTAATTTAACTTAACTTAACTTAACTTAACTTAACTTAACTTAACTTAACTTAACTTAACTTAACTTAACTTAACCTAAGTTAACTTAACCTAAGTTAACTTAACCTAAGTTAAGTTAAGATGAACAGATTTGTAAGTACACTGGTCTTTCCCCAGGAATGCAGTAGTTCCTCCATAAAATACCCAAAAAAAAAAAAAAAAAAAAAAAAAAAAAAAAAGTATCTTTTTGGAATGGCTAATTTTCACAACTTCACCAGTGTATTTCACCTTTATGAACTTTTTTGATCCCTCTACTGCCCATTACCAACAGACAGAAATTCATTTCACTGATCACTAAAGCCTTCCTCGTAGCAATATCTCTACTTGCTACAGGGCTGAGGTACACTTTGAACAAAGAATACACCTCACACAGGCTCCACCTTCTCAAATCTTATCTTTGACAATGAGACTGAAGCTCTCAGAAATAAATTTCATGTGAGTCATTGTTTTGCTCCTGATCTAAAGTGCACCTTAAGAAACAAACAAACGGTTTAAAATATGTACCATGCAGTTTACATAAGTCTAAGTTGAAGTAGAGACATATGCCCTTTAAAATATATATAAAATATATAAATATATACAAAATATATATAAAAAATAAATTAAAAAATAAAATTAAAATCACAGAAATATTAACATTCCAATGAGAAAACAAGCTTTACAAAACAAAGTGATCTCCCTCTTAGTTTGGGTAATGACAGAATTTCAGCCAATTAATAGGGAATTTATAAAAAAAAAAAAAAAAGTAAAGATGGTTCACCAACACTTTTTGAGAGATCATGCTATGTGTATTAGACTAGATTATCATGTGTTTACTACCCAAGTGAACATAATTTCCAAAGTCCTGCAATTTATTGCACTATTTAAAGTGATTTTAATCTTAATGAGTGCTCCTTTCACAATCAGCAATAAGTGTTAAACTTATCCATAGATACTGACTTGCTCAAATGTATTTAGAAAAAATAATTCATATGTGAATTTTAGCATAGGTTCAGTAAGACTGCCAATTCCTTATTAATAGAAAAAAAAAAAAAAGTTTTTTTAGGCAGTAGTCAGTGCTTCCAGTGTCAGAATACTTATACATTAAAGCAGTAACAGGGAAAATCACCAAAGGACTTTATTATGCATTATAATCAAGGTTTCAGCTTTTGGATACTTGTACAAAGTGAATCAATTACTTCACTTCTCATGAATTTCAGACAGATACATTGGGATCAGAAGTTTTGAAAAGGGTCAGGAATGCTTATATTTCATTGACATATATAGAAGCATTGAAAAATAGTACTTTTTTGGGGAACTGTTCATATTTTTTAAAAAAACTAATTTCATAAATTTTATACCTCAAATTTATACACATATGGTTTACAAGAAATCTGCATTACACTGTTTTGAAAACTGGGAGTTCTTTGCATCAAAACTCTTTCTGACTATGTAAAGTAGCTACATATTTCTGTATTATAACAAAGTTCTTTGATGCAGCCATTTAAGGTCTTTGGAATGGTAGACACATAGTTACATATGGTTCAGGTGGTGAAGAGTAATTCTTTAGACAAAATGCCTAAGCTTTAGGCATGTCTTGTTGTCCAAGTAAAGCAGCTGTAATCCTTGTTTTCATCCACAGTCTTTGAACACATAGTTTTCAGTGCAGTCTGTGAAATTGCTATAGGATTCTATGTTACAGCATAGAAGTCAGAGAATGTATGAAGATGCAATGATTTAATCACAGTAACACTTCACTCTAAGTAAACACCTTAATGTAGCATTATGTAAAGCTCTAGGTCAATTTATACTACAAGACTTCCCTTCTGATCTCCTATAGATGGAGTCTGAATATTACTTAGTTCAAAGGTATAGCGAATTTCAGTAGTTTCTGGCTTCATACTTTTTATGTAAGAGAAACTTTGAAAGATAAGAACTTTTTTAAATATAAACTTACTATTTTGCTTACTATCCATGCAAACTTGGGGAAAAAGGGAGAAAGGGATAAATACATTATGAGTGACTTCATACAGAGGGAAGTATTTTCTGTCCTGTGCTGATGTATTTTCATATAACTAACAAGTTAACATTTTTCAGCTTTTTAGCACTGTTTAGAACTTTGATCTGGGATAATTGCAGTGTAAAACCACCTGTTTCTTGTATCCCAGATTCCTTGTCTCAAAACACAAATACATAAGTTCTTTTACTGATCCACCCAAGGCAAGTTTAATAAATTGATCTTTTACTCAGATGACTGATCCATGTACTTTTGCAACATGAATAATAGGTTTCATTAAAATATCCACATTTGTGGCCTCTCTAGTGAAAATAAGACACAAAGCATGCTATAGATGAAAAAAAGAAAAAGAAAAAAAAAAAAGCACTCTTTCATCTCTTAAAATTACTACCTCGACCTTCTTTAATCCTAAAAATATACCTTTAGAGCTATACATTTTTATTATGTCTAGATTTATTATGTCTAGACTTGGTGGGCTATAGTGAGGCAACATTTGCCTGACCTAGGGCTTTATTAAGATAATGTTGTACAAGACCCAGATACCCATATGTACATTGTTTAACTGAATTAAATATATTTATGCTTACTGAATTCCTTTTTCACCTAGAAAAAACAAGTGTTCTTCAACACTGAAGAACACTGAACAAAAAATTTCTTTCAAACAGAAAATATTTCCCAAAGAGACTGAAAGAACTGTAATGAACTAACAGCTAATAACACAATATATGTTATGATATTAGATCACTGTTTCACAAAAAGATAACCAAAACAACTCTTCCAACTTCATGCTCAAGAGGACTTAGGAGGAACAGAAAGTTATTCTAAGGTTTAAGACTAAAAAAAATCATGACTGGCTGTCTCAGAGGCAGATAGATAAAGTACCAGCTACCACAATCGGAAGAATCAGAACCATTACATGATGAATAATTCCAATGTGTATTGATGCTTCTGGAAATGTTGGTATACATATATATAATTTTATGTATATATACATATTTATTTATATTTATGATCACAATATAAATACTTCATATATTTATGTTTTTTTTTTAAATAATAATAATAGTAATAACAAAGCTGTACCAGTAGTAGTCATTCACATTCACTTTTCAGAAATATAAATGAGAAATCACACATGTAATGCTCAGTCATAATATAGATTGCTGATCATATTTAACACTGGAATTCTTATACTATTAAATGAAAATTAGCACCCTACTAAATAGTAAAATCCCAGTGATTTCAATGCAGCCAAGATTTTCGTCTTAGTCATAGCACAAATTACTTTTGTGTCTCATGTTCAGAATAATTACTTTCCATACAACACAAATGAGGAAACATTACTTGTATTATCACAGATCCTGTCAAAGAAAAAAGAAAAAAAAATGTAGCTCAGCATCTTCCTGAATGAGATCAGAATCTGGACTGTATGGCTTGGACCGTTTCTTTCCCCAAATCTACATAAGATCCAGCGTCACAAGGTTGTTTTGGGAAAAGTCACATATAATGAAGAAATAATTCCCAGAAGCATATTGGTTTGAAGGAGCCAAAGCATTAATAATATGTAAGTCTCCTCTACTACCTGTACATCACTGGAAAATATATACTTATCAGTAAAATTATCCATTTGTTTTATTTCATTCTCATTTAAGTTCTGCATGTTTCAGCAACAGTGGTCCATAACTGGAAGTTCTTTCAACTTCTCACTTCTTGAAATATTGTTAGAGTGTTTATTGGGACTTTGGAGAAGTTGCTCATGATATTGTGCATATTTAGAAGCCAACCTATATCTGCTTTCACAGCTTTCAGAGCCAGGGTATAAGGGTGGGTGGGGGAAGGAAGCATTGCCAGGAAGGATAATTCTGAAATGCTGAGTTCTTTGGGCAGCCTTCTTTAGGGATGGACTTGTTGCTGGTTATCTGGATAGTGGGGTTAAAGTATGCAACCATACACACCAAAAATATAATAGACATGAGCTTTTTGTTCATAGGAAGAAAAGTCCCTCATTCCATAAAAAGGGGTCTCTTTATTCCATAAAAAGGGATCTCTTCATTCCATAAAGAGAGAGCAGTGCCTCAGAGGAAGTTAAAATTAAGGCAAAGGTTCCCCACTTCTAAGCAATAATGAATCATATAAAAAAATGTCCTGCTCCAGTAATTTCTCATCTGAGTGGGGTCTACAACTCAGGTTATCTAGACCCTTCACAGTAATCTGCTTGATAGGAAAAGGGCCTGAGAAGTTTTTATATCTTCTTAATATATGTCTACATGTATTCACACACGCACGCACGCACGTGTATATGTACCCACACAAACATGCCCTCACACAGAGTTATAAATATATATATGTACATATGCAAAGAGACAGACTGAAAACCATGTCAGATGTGGAGTATTACCCACTTTTCAGAACCATTTATACTATCTACACAATACATATTGAAACTCAACTTTAAGATATTTTATTTTTATGTACAGTTCTTTTTTTTTTTTTTTTTGTCTGGAAATAAAATATCTAAATACAGACAGACTGTAATGTTGTATATGTATAGCTTTCAACAATACTTTAGCTGAATAAATGCTTTGTACATAGTTCTGTCTTTTAATGGAGTTTACAGCTACATTGATAAAATGGATTCCTCATTTCCTTGATTGCTTTTAACCAATAACAAGCAGAGAGACAATTACAAGTTAATATTAATATGCAGCTCAAATAACACTGGTTAAATTATGTACAATACAAACCATTCATACAAATGAAGACTAGGATATTGAATTTGTTACAATATTTTGTAATAAAGATAAGACAGCCACTTATAACTTACATGTTCTCCGCCAGGCATCTTCCTTTGTAAAGATCAGTTGAAGGGTTTTTAAATAGCTTAGCTTGCCTAAACTCAACCAGGTTTAAAGAATCAGAGCATAAAGAGTCAGAGAAACATGAAACCAGAATGTCTGCCCACATGTAAATTCCAAATGTTTGCCCATCTTTACTAGTAACAGGCTCGTTCCATGGAAAAAGTGCCACCTAACGCCACCTCGAATGTGCCTACTGTATGCTGGAAAAAAGTCACGATGTTTTGCTGTGTTCATATAATAAGGAATACTGAACGCTAGACACACATTTCTCCCGTTTTAACAAGTATTTACTCCTACAGCATTATTTACCAGTACAGCTACTCCAAGCAGTAGAATGCATGAGTGGGGATTATTGATTGGCATGTATTCAAAGGACTTTCAAAGAGATTTCCATAACAGTCTGTGTTAGAAACCATTCTCTGTCTAGTTGATCCATTTTGCTTGATGATAGGTTATCCAGAAACCTTAGATATCAGACAATGAAATCTCCCTTAACAGAAATCTCAATAGATGTGAGCTGAACAGAGTGTGTGTCTCTGTGTATGTGTATGGTTTTATTTTAAATCCATAGTGATTTACAACTAGATTGATACATGGAGCTGACTGGGTAAAAATTACATTAGATTGTTTTCCACTAACATATTTGCAGCCATTTGACATCAGCAGCAGCAGGTAGACACATTCCAGGCAATAGATGTGGCCTTCCTCCTTGAGGTTACAGCCCTGTCATATGACCTCTTTTATTCCCCAGGCTTCAGTCTCAGACACGTGTTCATCCTCACCCTGAAGGGAAGTAGGGTGTGTCACTGTGGTAGTTGTAATCAGGACACACCTTCTGTACTAGTTTATAATCTGTACTATAAAAGGAAATGTAAATACAGATTACTTTAAAGGGCTTGGAGCAGAGCCATGACACATGGCTCTGGGTCTGCTCCTGATAACAGGTTTTTGAAGGGTCATAGTTGCAGAGTGTGTTCTTGGTAGCCTTGTCAACCTTTTCATACTCAATTCGACAGTTAAAGGACTTGGAATCTTTGGCATCAATCACTGTCTGTTGTGCCAAGTCAAATTCCACTATTTTTGTAGGGGGCACTAGGCTCACAGATACATTCCCTTGACCAGTGGAGTTATGCCTGAAGTAAACGCTAAACGTCCCATTGCCATGGTCAACAATTTTCCCTGTTATTAACAGATTTAGCTTCACAGTCTTGATGTTGGAATGAAAATCGCCCCAGCCAAACATTTTCTTAAATTTCCCAGTCTTGACAATGGGCCGTCTCTTTGCTCTGGGTCGAGGCTCTTGCAGGTCTGTGGAGTTCCTCAGCCAGTCCCAGAGATCTTGCTCAGAATAAGTTTCTGGGGCATCATATCGCAGGTCCAAATCTGTATCATTTTCCTTTCCACGAAAAGTCTGTGACAGCAGTCGGCTGATGGACAAGTCTTTGTTACTTTCTGTCCATATGTGCTTTAGTGTGGATTTGGAGCTTCCTGATTTTAGAAGTTCTGTTTTTCCTCCATTTGTTAAATTTGCACAGGTAACCTGAAAAATAATGAAGAGAAAAAGAAAGAAAGGATATGATGAGATATGTAATATCCATATGTAAAATCCATCATTTCCTTGTGAAACAATGAGCAAATTTCAAAATCATAAGAATTTTTTTGGAGAAATAATTATATTCTCTGTACTCAGGTAAAACAAAACCTAAATGTCTTAACTTCTTTTGGAAGAACATAAACTTCTTTTAAAGTAGTCATTATTTAATGCTTTTTTGGCAATCTTTTACACTGGCCTTCAGAATTAATTCTGATCAATTCTTCAGCCTGTAAGTCACCTCTGTTATAATGCCTTTAAGTGATGAGTAAGTAAAGAAATACTGCACAAACTAAGGTACACAGCCATGTCATCTTCCAGTGTGTATGTGGTTTTCACTGGACACTTCTTATCTCAGAGGGAAATATTCTTGCTTGAATGTTCTCTCTAAACAGTGGATGCATTTTCCACCATCAGAGGCACATCCATTTTTCTTAGCTGTCCCTGGAGTTTACTGTCAAGGTCCTGTCTTGCTGGTGCCACCTTGACCATGCTCAGAGTCTATGTCATTATAAAACAAGTAATAGCAATATAACTTTCCTACTCCTTTTATAAGAACACATTGGTCTGTAGTCTTGACTGGGACCTTCAATAACAACTAAAGAATAAATAATGGGATGAAAGTTTTAATGAGTTTCTTTGACAGCAATAAACATACTGTAAGCTTTACCTCAATTAATGCAAGAGGAGTCACACATGCTCCTTTACAGATTAACTACTGATTTGCCTTGTCTATATCTAGTACGACATGTATTTCTCCTTCCTCACTCAACTTCTTTCTTCACACCTTCATCCCAAAACCAGTGGTCTCTGAAAGACAGAGATCCATTTGCATATTTTCAAGAAAAATATGGCTACCTATCTGAAAGTAGTAATAAAAAGAAATCTTACAAATCATGTTTTTATTTTGAGAGACAGAAGGAAAACCCTGCACCAAGTTCCTAAAAATCATAAACCTCAGAGATTGTTTTTCACAGAATTCAGTGTCAGTGCAATTTTACCTTATTTATTTTCTATTCACCCTGTTTGTGTGGAAAACAGAGAACAGATGCAGCTTTACACCTGTCTGATGCAGCACTAATGGAGAGCTCCGATGAAAGGTGGAAGGGATGGCTAGAATTGGCTGGGGACAGCAGGTTGACAGGGAGGAACCTACAGACTTTTCCCTTAAAAACTCACATAAGACATGCTGCCTCATTTTTTAATATTTGAACTGGTCTGAAGAAGCCATTGAGTTTCTTATTTCCCTTTTCATGGCTACATAGCACATTCTGAAAATGTCTGCTTTATGACTCTGTTCTGGTGCTGAGTTACATGCTTCTTTCATATCTTCAGTTGTATCTTTCTCTTCACTTAAAAATGAATTGGGTGTATTCCCAATCCAAGAAACACAGCTAGTATTTAAATTATTTAAACCATGGCCCTTTCTTACTGGTACAACTGCAAGTATATGTCACAGAGGTTATTTATTACATGGCCTTTTCATTTCTTAACAATCATGGAATTGAAGCATATTTTCATTAGCTTCAACACTCTTTCAAGGTCAGTTGAAGGCATATACATAAAATCAGTTTAAGCTTTCTTAACACCTTAATCAGATCAGCAACTATGCCCCAAAACTTTTACAGTAAACAAATAGGTAAACAATTCTGTCACATCCCTTACTATACCTCCTCAGTGCTCTTCAAGTTGAGGGGACAGTAACGATAATAGATAAAATATGGGTTTTTTGTAAGATCTTGCCAAAGGGATGACTTTCTCCTCCTTTGTACTGAAGGAAGGATAAACATACTCTAGAATTTTGATAGGCAGTTTGTAGATGCATTTTAGCATCAACACAGGGAGCCAGGAGAGAAGCTGTAATGAAATGCACTGATGGTGTGATGGTTAATGAAGCAGCAATGAAGATGTCACAGGGAGAGAGAAAAAGACTCAGAATAAAATTTTGCAGCAGCATATGGGGAAGGAGTGCAAAATGAGAGGAGAAATGTGGTTAAAAGGAAAAATGCGCCTGTCTAGTAAGAATCTGTCAACCCGGTCCGAGTCTAGCAGTTAGCTAGCAGAGCTAGTATACCTTCAGTCTGTAGGTAAGACACAGATTGCTGGCCACTGTATAGTTCTTTCCTTAGAGCTTGCTTTTCCTTTGTTTTGCTTTCTGCATCCAATGATTTACATTTCATAGGATTATACTACAAGTTCCATTTAGCAAGATGTAACAGTATAAAAACTACTTAAGAAGGTCTGCTTTTTTCAGCTGTGTAAAACTAAATGCTGAGGAAAATAAGTATTTTCTGAAAGAGTTGCTGACTGATCCGATATATTTGTGCTCTTGAAAGGCAGTATATTTGATGGAAATGGATGATTCAGATCCCATGCATGCTGTACTGCTTCATACCTGACATAACAAATACAATTGATTGTTACTGTCATTGATTTTGTAATACCTAAAAGGCTTCTGGTCATGCAGTTAGCCCTGAGACCTCTGTTTGCGATTTTCAGTGTGGGTAACAGTCTGCTTCCATGATTAAAAGCCTGAATTTGCCCTCCCTAGTCAAGTGTCTATGTAAGTAAGCACTGGAAAAAAAAAAAAAAAAAAAAAAAAAAAATGAGGGTTAATAAAAAAGCTCTAGAATTCATTGCTCTTCACTAACATTTTCCAGACAACTGCTTTTTCATATACTGTTAGCGTACTATGTACTATAGAAAGTATCTATATGTATCCTCAGAGACTTGCACACCCAATAATACAGAGCATTGCTGCGTAATAGAATTTCTGCAAATGCAGCAGTTATTTTCACATGAATTAATTTACAATTTTCTTCTCTCTCTCTTCTTTCCAACCATAAGTTGGCAATAATACAAGAAAGATATTACAGATCCATGAGATTTTGCACTTACTCATGTGAAAAACAGCTTAGACCCATTTTAGCAAGGCTTGAAAAAAGTGCTGATTGAAAATGACTGATAGAGTTAAAATACTGAGCACCCAAAATTCTATGGTGGCTTTTGCGATCTTCCTTGAGTATACATGTATATAATTCAGAAACATGCAAATGCTCCCTTACCAACTAATTCACTGTAACAAGAGTTCCTTCTCTTCCAAAGCCAACTGTCACTCCCAAACTGAAATGCCTTGCCCTCGATTATTTACCTTCTTTACAATAACAGTTCACTGGAACTGTTCAAGTCTAGGAGGATTGGGATGAGTATGGGTATTTTTCTAGATATTTAGGTTCTATAAATTTATAGAGTTGGCAAGTAATACATTTCACTGTACAAAAATAAGTGCTATTTCAGTTTCTGTTGGTTTAAGTGTTCATGGTACAGACTCTTACAATGTATACAGAACTTTATATGGTAGTCTCCCAGTCTTCATTGGTAGCTTTAAGCTTTATTCTAAGGAAGTAACAATGATGAAATACACATGAACGTTGAAAACTCTAGCCCAGTACAGTGTAATATATCAATGTTGCAAAAGGGCTGAGGAGGGGTATTTCCTGTGCCAGCATACCTAGAAGTGAGTGATTATGATGTCAGCAGTGTACATATAGAACAAGAATAAGGACAAAAAAATATGGGAATGCTTAGCCAATACTACAAATGTCACTGGAAAAACACTCACTAAGACTAGGAGACTGACCTTCTGTTCTAGTCTTGTATTTTTAATGGAAAGTACAAATTTCCACTACATTGAATGACAAATTGCTATCCCATTCTTCTTGTGTTTCTAAGCAAAGGCAAAGACACTGGGCACAATATGCCAAAGCGTCATTTAAAAATAAATAGATACACAAGAATTGATCCATAATTTATTTTTTTTTCATTAAAATAGAATATTCTATTCATTCTGTATCCTCCTTTTTGAGGCTGAAGAAATTTTATTGATGAACTTTAGCTTCATTAGATGTGTTTTAATGAATATGTGTAGCTCATTTAGGCCTTCCTAAAGGATAGGTAGTTGTCTCAAAAAGCTTGGTGTTCTCTTTCAAGACTCAACTCTGAATGCTTAGGCAGGTCGAATTTAAATACTTGAAACAGAGAAAACAAATATGGAAAGTCATATTAGGAAACCATCAAGGTCTCAAGTAGTGATTTAGTCCTTCTTCCCATCTGAGGTTAAAATAAACCATAGCTGTATTAAGATTAATTTAAGACTGATAAATCTGAGATTAAAAAATAATAATAATTCAAAGATGTACAGAATGCCTCTTGATTTCTCACTCTTTTCTTTTTATTCTAGCTCTATTACAGTTCATTACCTATAATTACAGTATTGGCTTAGAAATTATGTATTTATTCCTCTGAATGTATGACTACTTGAGGGCAAATGAAAATGCAAACAAACAATCTTATAAGGTAGAAAATCTCTCTCTTCAGGTAAATAACTAATCAAAACCAAGATCATTTTTGCTGGCATAGCACTGTAAGAATTTGGCAGCGCTGTGTTTGTATGTTCTCTGTATACAAGAATTTGGAATTTTCTTTCCTCTGTCAGATATCTCAGCATTGATAAAACAATACTGATAGAACAATACTGATAGAACATTTGATAGATAGAACATTTGATTGATAGATAGATAGATTTGATTGATAGAACAAAACTGGACTATTATCAAGGCAGGATGGCACTCAGAAATTTTTTGCTGAACCTAGTTTTCCTAGGTTTTATCCTTTTTTATCCTGTTTCTTCCTGTTAGGTAGAGGAAAATCTGGACCTAGATTGCTTTGACACTGCTTTGAACAATTTTTATTCCTATACTTGTGTACACACCATACAAAGTCACTACTGGCATGGATCCATTTTATCTAATGAATAATTTCCAGATAAGTCAAAGCCTATATTCTACAGATATTTAACCATTTACATAGAAATTGAGAATTAATTTTGATATAGAAATGATTATAACAGAGGGAAATAAAACACAGTGATGGACTTGCAGCTGTTACAA